TCTCACTCTTTTGAATTATGCATTTATATGGAGTATTTTAGGGTTTTGTCCCAAAAGATGGATAGTTTATGAGATAATGAGCTCTAGAGACCTTGATCAACCCCTTTTAGTGTATTTTGTGGAATAAAGTCATAAAAATCCAATCTTGGACGTTAGAAGCAAGCCATGCATGAGATATGAGCTTTATGAGGAGAGAGGATGAGTGTTTTGAGTGTTTGTGACCTAATCAGCCATGCAAAGGCTTAAATTCACTAACTTTATAGATTAAGAGATATTAGGGAGTCCAGATCTGTGATATGAGCCAAGGTCTTAACTGATTAAGACCAAATATGTGAGGAGAGTGAAACTGGGACATACGCTGGGCGTAATCTAGTACGCGCAGCGTAGGGGTCGAGCATCCCCGATATCTGCATGGCAGCTGAGTACGCCCAGCGTAGAGAACTGGTACGCGCAGCGTACTCCCTGCCGTTGACTTTTGGTTGACTTTTAGGGTTTTGGTCAACGTGTGGTCTATTGAGCCCATGGAGGGGTAAAATGGTCTTTTACCCTTCTGTGAGTGTATGGAAGGGTTAGTCTAGCTTCATGAGAGCAACTTATAATTAGGGATAATTATTGTGTGTGTTAGGCGGAGGCTAGACTGGTGATTCGAGTTCGCGGTTGTCCAATTCTTATGAGGTGAGTCTTCGCACTATACTTACCATGAGCTGTATCTATGAGTGATCGGAGGGCCGTATGTGTTTACTTGAGTTATGCATCTTGACTGTGTGATATATTTATGTTGTATTATATGTTACTAAGACCGGATCGGAGGGTCCAACGAGCCGTGAGACCGGAGGGTCCACACTGAGACCGGACTGGAGGGTCCAACGAGCCGTGAGACCGGAGGGTCCACACTGAGACCGGACCGGAGGGTCCAACGAGCTATAGCCATGAGAGGCTTATTATATGTGTATGTGGTATTTTGGGGAACTCACTAAGCTTCATGCTTACCGTGTTATGTGTTATGTGTTTCAGGTACTTCTCAGGATCACGGGAAGGCGCCAGCATGATTGTACACACACATCAGAGTTTGAGTTATGATTTAGAGGATCTTGGAGTTTGATATACATACAATCTTTGATTATGAGATTTGATGATTGACATTGTGACATTTTGAGGTTTATTTATTGTGATAAATGTGTTTTTAAATTGAAAATTTACGTTGTTACAAAGGGGGTGAAATAGTCCCCGTAGCCGGTTGAGATCAACCGGAGGGTAGGTCGGGCACCCCAGAATGGCCTGGCTAGGTAGGACGGGCACACCATAATGGCCTGGCAGGGTAGGTCGGGCACCCCAGAATTGCCCGGCAGTATGTTTGTTATATGGTATGAGGTATGATGGGGGAACTCACTAAGCTTTGTGCTTACTGTTTATAGTTTTTTTTTTCAGGTCCTTCTTCTTCGAAGGGAAAGGAGTCGGCTCGGTAGCAGCGCATCACACCATTATTTTCCGCACCATGATGTTCTTGGGATTTTACTTTGACATTATTATTCCATGACATGTTTTATGACATTTGACTTATGGATTTATGGGTTTGATATGATATTGATGATGTTTTCAGTATACTGTTTTATAAATTACTTAATTAAAATCGAAATCTTTGGTCATGAAATTTGGTATGTTACATTTTGATAGACAAAAGGTATGTATCACCTAACTATTTGTCTTGTTACTAATGCTAGATAGATTTGTGTAAATTATGTTGATTACATTTACTTTTGTTTAGGGAATAATATCAACAATTGAGAATGTATTGCCCAATGCAGAACACATGTTTTGTTTGAGGCATATCCAGGAAAATATGAAGAAACAGTAGAAAGGAAAAGACTTAAGTGACCAGCTTTGGGAGTGTGGTAGAGAAACAACAGTTAATCACTTTAACAAAGCAATGGATCAGTTGAATAAGATCAATGTGGAGGCTCATGCTTGGGTGTGTAAGATTCCAGAAAATACTTGGTCTAAATCTCACTTCAGTGGTATGTTTGTAGAAAATTAATGATAAAGATCGATCTTGCTTGTTGTGTTTTTACTATATGTGTAATTGTCTTCTCTTTATATGTGTTACACAGGTAGGGCACACACTAATTGTTTGTTGAATAATATTTGTGAGGTATTTAATTCTAAGCTAGATGAGAGTAGGGATAGACCCTTTATCACTTGCCTAGAGTATATTAGAGAGTATCTCATGAAGAGATTGTATGTGGTGCAACAGGAAATAGATAAGTGTGAAGGACTACTAACCCTTACAACAACTATAGTGTTTGACAAGATTAAGATTGATGCAACTAAGTATATGGCTAAATATAATGGGGTATGAAATTACCAAGTGTCAAGCACATGGCAGGATCAATATGTCGTAAAATTGAATGAGCAAAGTTGTAGTTGTAGGTTTAGGGAGATTAAAGTTTTTCCATGTAGACATGTTGTTTGTGCTATATGGGACAGAACTGAAAATGGAGAAAATTCCCAACATGTTGATGAATGGGTCCATCCTTGCTATAGGTTATCGACATGGAAAGCCATGTATTTCAACAAAATTGATCCACTTAATGGACGTTCAATATGTCCTAAAAGTGACTGCCCATTCACTTTAAATCCACCAAAACATAAACATAGGTTTGCATTTCAATTAGGCATAATATGTAGTTTGAATGTGAACATGCAATTGGTTAATTTTTAACTATAATATATCAATATGTGTAGGTTGCCAGGCCTAAGAAGAAGAGAAGGAGGGGTGTTGATGAGCCCAACAGCCAAGCAAGTAAATTGACCAGGAAATATCTGACAATCACTTGTTTAACGTGTCATGACAAAGGGCACAATTCCATAACATGTAAAGGGCAGGGAGGCAGTGGTCAAGTTGGAGGGGGCTGAAAACTCTGTTAAGTAGTTATTAGGATGTTTGTGTTGTAGGTCTTTTGAAACGTAAGTCATTTTTACTTTTTTGAAACTATAATGTCTATATAGGTTAAGAACTTAAATCATGTTTACTTGTTTTGAAACTTAGTAGGATGGTTGTGTTAAGAACTTTACAACTTGGCATGTAATGGTGTGTATGCACATTTTGTCAATGAATTAATTGTTTTGTGTACTACCCTTCAAAGATTCATTTATAACAATGTACATTTCAATTGCACATCCAAACCATAAAAAAGATGCATTTACAATACACTTACCAATTGTAAATCACAAACATTCAAGAAATTCAACATTCAATTATAACAAAGTACATTCCATTACCATTCCATAATATTATTTTGTTACAAATTAAAGTTCATTACAATTCCATTACATTGATTTAATACCTAAAACAAAATACAACAACACCAATTCCAAAAACCCCTACATAAATTGAAAGCAAAAAACCCCTATTCGATTAAAACCCCAAACCCCCTGCACCAATTAGAAACCAAAAACCCAAAATCCATTACCATCCAAACTTTCCCAAGAAACTTACTGGTTAAAATAAAACCGAAAAAAGAAAACCCATTAACATAACAAAATCATCTGGTAGTTCCACACTTCTGCACACACAACGGAAACCCTCTCTTCCAATTGATTCATCGATCTTATCAAACATGGAATCACCACCAATTCCCTAGAACACATAGGAGGGTCAAACAATCGAAGGAAATCACATCTTGTACAGTTCCAAAATTGCCTTCCAAAGTTACAATCTGTCCACGAAGTGATCTTCATTGCTTCATTTCCACATCTTAAAGTCACCATCTTGTAAAGGGTGCTACGGTCGACGAATAGTGGAATGGAGAAGAAAGAAGACGATCGCAGATTAAGGGCCTTGCCCAAAAATAGGGCATGCAATCTTTCTTTTGAAGAGTGAAGATTACAAGTGAAAGGACAAAATTACCCCTGCAATATAATATTGAAAAAAGAGTTAACGGCTAAATGGTAATGGAGTGAACCGAAAGGACTAAACATTAAAAGTTTTGAAACCACATGGACCATGTATGATGTATTTTAAAATTAAGGACCAAACTTAGGTCCCGTCTGATAGTTTCTGTCCGAGAAAGTGCTTTCTGAAAAAGTGTTGTATGGGAAAGTTTTATGACTGGGAAAGAAACCATGTTGTTTGATTATACATCTGATTGATTGTGCTGAATGATGAAAATGACAATATTACCCTGTTGTTCTATATTTTGATGGACGAAGTTGCTGAATAATTATAAAAACATATAAATTGTCATACAAAATCAAAATTACACAATAATAATTTAAAAATCCAAATAGAATGTCGATTAAGTCGTTTTTAGTTTATTTTTTTTTCAAGTTGATGTTACGTTGTTATTCTTTCTTGCAATTATAACTTTTTTTATAACTCAACATGTGATTCTTGATCCAGTTTATGTCCGATAGTGGTGGGATGAATGATTTTTTTTAAATATATTAGGATGATGGTGGTGTTGTCTATAAAAATGATTAATCCAATAAAAATGAATTTAAAAAATTAACTAAAAGTAATTAATAATCCAATAAAATAATATTTAATAATATATAAATATTACATAGTTATAATCAATATTTATTAATATATAATAATCCAATAAAAAGACTAAATCCATAAAAAGGAAATAAATTTTTTTTTTTAAAAGAAATTAATAATCCAATAAAATAATATTAATCAATACATAAATATATTATATTAAAAATAATATTTATTAATTTATAATTATCCAATAAAAAAATTAAAAAAAGTATTTTAAAAAAATTAATAATATAAGAAAGAAAGAAGCAAAGTTTGGGGTATAATTGTCTTTCCAGCCTATTCAGCCAGAAATATATGGTTTTGGAGTTTTTTAGAAAAGACATATCTTACTTGTAAATACTTATTTTTTTGTGTACATCAAACTATCTTTCTGGTGTATTGAGTAAAAAGATTTGTTTGGAGTTGAAAAGATGTATATCAAAGCTGTCCATATTTTATGAAACCACACAAACCATTTATGAAGTTTCGTGTTATTTTTTATAAGCCTCTTTATTTTGGTATTTGGAAATTTCTTAATTTTTACTCCCTAGCCGATTTTACGACGGGTAGTCGCCGAGAAAAGGCGATTTTGTCATTTTGTGCGACTCTGCCACTCCGCCGTGTCCTCTCCTTACCTCCTTCGGTCGCTCCGGTGACTGCTGAAACCCTAGCTGTTTTTCGCGCCTTCGATCGTCTCCGGTACGTTCAACCGCTTTCTGTGTAATTTTTCTTGATCGTAAACTCTACTACCGGGTGTATGCGTTAAGCGCTAATAGCTGTATAGCAACTGATATATGGAATTCTACACCTTTGTCTTGAAATTTTTGTTTCAATTTCGTTCCACTTTGTATTGTATTGTAATTTACAGTCTAAAAATGTTTATGATACCCAATATTTCACATATTATGCGAGGTATGATATTCGTAGCTAATTTCTAACTTGAGGGCAGGATTTTCTGTGCCATGGAAAGCTCTGATGACGAGAAAGATGGTGCCAATGGTAAATGCATGAACAATGGACAAACGCCTACATGCGCTGATGGTATAAAATTTGTAGATGATGTTCTCAATGGTGCAAACGATCAATGTTTAGAGAATTTTCGTATGGAAAAACATGTTTTTTATAAACTGTGCGACATATTACAAGCCAAAGGTCTTCTACGCCACACTAACCGAATAAAGATTGAAGAACAATTAGCCATTTTTATGTTCATTGTCGGGCATAACCTTAGAACTCGAGCAGTTCAGGAGCTTTTTAAGTACTCAGGGGAAACAATCAGTCGCCATTTCAACAATGTCTTGAATGCGATTATTGCCATTTCTTTAGACTTCTTTCAGTCTCCAAGTTCTGAAATTCCTCCAGAAATCCGAGATGATCCCAGATTTTACCCTTATTTCATGGTAATTTAGTGGATATGAAGTAGTTTTAGATCCAATAGTGGTGATAACGTTAACGTGATGTTTTTTTGATTATATTTGGTGTGTTTTAATGTAATAGGATTGTGTGGGAGCTGTAAACGGCGTACATTTTCCAGTGATTGTGGGTGTAGATGAACAAGGGCCTTTTCGTAATAAACATGGTGTTCTTTCACAGAGTGTTCTTGCTTCTTGTTCATTTGATATGAAGTTTCATTATGTTTTAGCTGGTTGGGAGGGTTCATCATCAGATATAAGAGTTCTGAATTCAGCTCTTACAAGGCAAAACAAGCTCCAAGTCCCTGAAGGTGATGTTCTAACTTTTTAATGTGCATTTTTAGATGCTAAAGTTAAGGACATTTTTAGAAACTCTGGAATTGATGCAGGTAAATACTTCCTTGTGGATTTCAAATATGCAAACATTCCAGGCTTCATTGCTCCATATTTAGGCACTCCATACGGTTTACTTGAATATGAAGACAAATTCCAACCACAAGATGCCAAAGAGTTATTCAATCATCGCCACTCACTCTTACAAAACATGAGTGAAAGAACATTTGGAGCACTAAAAGAACGATTTCCTATTCTAATGTCAGCTCCTTCTTACCCATTAACAACACAGGTTAAATTAGTGGTGGCAGCATGTGCTTTACATAATTTCATCCGTGACAACAATCCAAATGACAGCATCTTTAAGATGTATGAACATGAAGGGTTTTTTGTTCCACAAATGGAGGAATCAGTGAGAGTGACAACACCTCCACTTGATTTTGAAAAGCCGGAGATGATGGGTGTCGGGAATGGAATGGTGGATTCCGATGTCCCCTTTGATGCCCAACAAATTGAAGATACGTTGAAATTGCGTGATGCTATTGCTGCTGAGATATGGAATGATTATGTTCATGATTTTCCAGTCACGTGTGTATAGCATTTAGATTTGATGTAGTAAAAGATGCTAGGATTTATTGAGGGGGGAATTGATTATTGGTTATTGTAATTGACATTTTTGATGCCAGAAGAATATGAGATCAAAGGATCTTTGATTTTCTTGGTTATTTTTTTTTTAGAGAAGATCAATCTTACATATATCTTACATGGTGTGAGATATAAGATTTTCAGATATATGATACACCAAGTTCATTAGTAAAGGTGTATCGAGATAAGAAGTTATGGTGTTATGAGTTTGTAGCTATTAGATGTGCATTAGGGTCTTTTAATAAAAAGGACGCAAAGCTGAAGAAGTGTATGGGGTAGTGATTGATTATGACCAAAAGATGTTGTGTAATGTTAGTGGATATGGTAAATGAGTGAGTATGATGGGTTATATAATGAATATGAGCGATAAGTGTAACTAAGATGCCTAAATACCAAAAGGACAGCGTACATTAAAATAAAATGATGTTAAGTTATGATATTTATGAGTTATGACATAACTCTTCTCAAATGACATGGCATTATAAATGACAAGTGTTAGAATGCAAGAAAGGACAAAAGGTAAAAGTATGTTGCCTAGATTTGGAAGTAGATTCCTTGAGGGGTTTATGTTTATGAACATCAATTAACAAAAAATGAAGGCTATTCTACATTCAAATGTTTTCGAATTTGATGATATGATTAGGGTTCTCAAGGTGTAATGTAAGTCGATTTTTTTATGTGCAAATAATAATGGTCAAAATTGAGTCAAAGTCTTGGGTATGAACAATTAATTAAATGATGAATTCGTAATGCTTATGGTAATATGTTTTTTTTATTAGGGGATGCATCTCTGTGCGTTGCACAGAAACCCAGAAAGGATAAACTACTGTTAGTTAGTAATATTATCGGATAATAAAAGTTTATAACATGTGTATATATTCAAACAATTAATTTATTCAGAGACAATTAAGTTTATAAGATTTGTACATATACACATACAAAGAGAAAATAGAAAATAGTTATATGTGCATATACAAAAAAGTTGCTTATTTGTGGTGTTTTTCATCGACTCTTCTACATTTTTAGTATAAAGTGATTTTTTTTAAATCGTATTTTTTTAAAAGAAAAAAACTTATGTCCTAGAGATATAACAAATTATTTTTAAAAAACAAAGCTAGGGAAAGGTTTTAAATTCTTTTGAAACTATTTCGGACGTTTGATGCAAAAAATTGAAGTATGTACAATGTACAAAACAAAATTTATAAAAGAACTATGTTTAATTTTAAATAATAGGATAAATGTTATATGAAGAAGAATATATCGAAAAAAAGATTTGTTATATATTTTAACAATATACATTCATAAAATGTAAAAGAATCGGATAATAATTTTGTAACAAAAAACTAATACGTAAAGCAGAAAAATATTAAGAAAAACAAAAAACAAAGATGTGAAAACGGAAATATTTTATTAAAACCATATATAAAAATGAAGATGTAAAATATAAAAAATTTGATACAAAAACTTTAGATCATCTAAGTGTTCTTAATAATATCGTGTTGGAACTACAAACTATCGGAGTGAAAGTTGAAGATAAAGATAAAGCATTGATGCTCATATTATATTTGTCATATTCCTATTAGCATAGTAAGTTCATTCTCATGTATGTGAAAAAACCCCTGAAATATGCAAATGTTACTAGAAAACTCGTGTCCGAAGAGAAAAGACTAGAGAGTAGCAGTCATACTTCTTTAGAAGGAATGGTTTTCATGTGTGTGAACCGGAAGAAGAAGAAGTCACGAAAGATTTTGGTATGCTGGAAGTGTGGAAAAACTGGACATGTTAAGAGTAATTGTCCAGCTGGAGTGGATTCAACAAAAGGCTCCCGTACAACTAATAATGTCTTTTTCATTATATATGGTGATAATTTCTTTTGAATTCATGTCATCCTTATGGTATGTCCTTGCTATCATGAAAACGGATGTAGTTTTGTTAATGGGTTTACCGATTTACATATGGGTATTGGATTGACATAAATACAATATGTGCGGTGAATTTGATGTTGATGGTTGATGAACTTGTGAGTATGCAGAGAGGGGAAGTTGCACCATATATTTTTATCATTTTTTTCAACATATCCCAAGGTGAAGTTATTAGAATGATCTATTCTAAATGGTTATATTCTTTTATGGTGGAGTATGATAATTCTATGACTTTAGAATTATGATTGTCGTTTGAAGACAATGTTCCCTTTTATGCGGTTGCGGTTTTCATTCATTTATCTAAGGTGAAGATTATTGGGTTTTGGATAAATGAATGAATAATGGTTTGCATCCCACATTGCTACAATAATGGAAGTTTGGGAGGACTCCAAGGTTATAAATAAAGTCTAAGGTTTTGGTTTCAAAGCACCCCAACCAAAATACATTTGAAGTGTTTGGTTATTTCTTCCTTGTCTTATTTTAGAATGTGGAAAGTATGAGTTAACACTTTGGAGAGTGTGAGTGTAATTTAGGGGAGGTTTGAGAGATTAATCGATGAGATTGTAGTAATTTATTATATAGTGGATCCTTTTCTCTGGAGGATCGTGTTTTTTCTCACGCTTTGGAGTTTTCTACATATATTCTTGGACCCAATTATTTTCTCTATTTTTCGTAGTAGGGAGGTTTAGGGGAGGTTTGAGAGGCTATTTTCCCAATAACTTCTTCCAAATAATTTTACCAAAAAATATTGATGATATATATTGTTTTAATTACTCATTTGAGTTATAGATGAATCTGATAACTGTAGTATAATAAATTGTTTATCGATGATGTAATCGGAAACCACAACTTCAGTCAAGATGACCCATATTAAGGCTAGAGGGAGTGATTTCACTCTTGCCTTACTCTTTTTGTTGCCACGTAGGCGCTATGTTATTTTTGTCATACCATACTAACTTTTTGCCATTTAGGGGTGGTTTTCCGTACTTTTTCATAAACAAATTTTAAGAATTTAAAAAAAAAAACATTTTTCATTACTAGAAAATAAAAAAAAGACATAACGATAAATTAAAAAATTAATATCTTAAAAACTTAAAAAATAAAAACTAAAAAAAATCATAACTAGTACAATCAAAATGAAGTCTTCATCCGAAAATTAGGCTTCTAAATCATCGACAGGTTTTGCTCTTCTTGTCAAGTATATATTTTGTCAAGCATCTGCAAAGGTCTTGATGGATCTCAACATTAGGAACTATTTCTCTTCTTGTCAAGTACTCTTCGTTACCAATCTTTAGTGGTTTGTGTCAGTGAAATAATCTCGTTTTCTTCAGACTCATATATCACACTTTCTTCATCTTCTAGAATCATATTATGTAATATGATACAAATATACATTACCTCACTCGTCTTTTTTTCCTCAAAAGAAAACATTTTTAAGAGCTTTAAATGCTCGTTCAAATTTTTTCGTGCCTTTTCCTACGTTCTCTTAAACTTCAACTTGGTTTGCTCATCAAAATAAGACAATATTTTAGCAAATACTGAAAGTTCATTATATATCACGTCCACGAGATAATACCCATACCTGCAAAACGTTGCATGCACTACAAATGAAGAATATGATGTAGTCCCGTTATATATGTCCTTGAATATCGGCGGCATGTTAAGAATATTGATGTCATTCAGCGAACCGAGAGCACTGAAGAAGGCATGACATAACCACAAATCATGTGATCCTACAACTTTGAGTATGTTTGAAAATTTTGTGAAGGCTTTCTCGTACAGTATGTGCGGACATCCTAAGATTCTCATCTAGTTAATCGGGAGAGTGACATATATTATCATATAAAGTGCGGCTATGCATTTTTGTAAGGGACAAAAACCTACTATGCATGTTGCATCTAGGTGTTGTTGGAAATATGGACACACTTATGTGACGTCATCGACTACATGCTGAAACAAATGTTTGTGCATACGAAACCGTCGTTAAGAAAATTAGACTTGAAAAATCGTGTACTTGTCATAATAATCATGCATGAGACGTTGGCTGGCAACTTCATGGTTTCTCTGTATATATGTTTTTCTGCTTCACAATTTCAGCATCCCTTTTACATCATTCTTCAATCTTGCTTTCCATCGTTTGAGCAACCCCATCATGATTTATAGCACCAAGTTCAAAGTTTTTGATGAAGGGGAAATAAATTAGAGAGAAGAAAGAAGAAAGTCTTGGTGAGGTAAATTATATAAAGGTTGATATTTATAGTATTTTGAAATTGAAAAACAATAAGAAAAAGTAGCCTTTAATTGGCTGGTCAAAGAAGTCAAGAGGAGAGAGACTCAGAAAAGAGGCGTCGAATGGGGCTTCTCGTCTCAGCATGCCAAGGTTGGGGGCGATCGACATTGAGTACACTTAAGTAAATGTCAAGATGGTGTCATGCCACACTATCTAGCCTAAGGCATTCCCAATCCTCTTATAGAGGGGTTTTATGTAATAAACCATGGATACCAATGTAACGGAAAGTTCCACCCTCAATAAATGCACGATCCTTCTCTCGTCCTCTACCCCGTGTTCTTGGATTCAATGAAAAAAAATCGCTACCATATGTTTGATCTTTTCAGTACAAGAGGTTGTAAAAGCATTCATACAAGTGAAAATGATGGTATTAGGGTTTTGATGGTGAGTGGTGGTGATGCATATTCCATTGACATGTTATTACAATCAAGAGATGATAAAAAGTTATTTTCTTAACATTTACTCTATGAAAATAGAAATTTTGAATGGTGGTGAAGATGTTCGTGACTATGTTATATATTTATACTTTCCTTATGGTGTCTAAATTTAGAAAATATATTATTGAAAATAGTGGGACTTATAGTTTTTTTTATGATACTTGATAAAAGCCTTTAAAAACGATAGTTCAGTTGTTTTAAAATCAAAAATATCCCCTTTTATTATTGGAATCCATATGAAAGAAGAAAACTGTAGATATCTTGTAAAGTACATTTACACTGGATTTTTATTTAGACATATTTTAATGTTTAAAAAATTAAAAGGTAAATAAATTCAACAAAATATAAAGATAATTGAGATTTTTTTTGGCTATTTGATTAAGTTTTAGATT